ATTGCCATGGGAAAGTCTGCTGTTAGGGACCTCTCCAAAGTACTGAAGAGCAATGGTGTCTCTCTGGAGACTAAGGTGCGTCTGATACAGGCCATGGTCTATCATTTGACTTTTATTCACTTTATGTCTGGCTTCCATTGTTTATTCCATCTCCTCTGCTTGTAACTCCTTGTCCCAGACTCTACTGACCTCTTTGGTCCTTGGGTCTCATGGCAGCAGGGATCCCCAAATGAAGGAGCCTTTATCCAGGGGATTTTCAGGCCCTTCTCTCCCCCACATCTGAAAGTGCTAGCTCTGGGAAAGAGTCTGTCATATGATGATGTCTTCTTTCCTGAAGTATATTGCCCTCCTTTGTATCTGGTATGACACAACACAAGACCAGGGGTGCCAATTTGAGCATTGTTTCTTTTGTCTTCTTGCCTTGGCCTACAGAGTGTCATAGCTAGGTTCCTCAGCTCTCTGTGCTCTCTGATGGTTCAGGGGAGAGGTCTTCGTACATTCTTATACTGTGTACAAGCAAGGGAAGATGGGAGGGTGCAGGGAGTAGGCTGGCAGCCTCCCTTTCCTGGTAGGATCTGCTAGTGTCTCCATGGGAGTAAGGACTCAGCTCTGGTCTATTATTCTAATTTTGATGGCTTTTAAGAAATATATTCCTTTCCTCTTTTTTAGCTGGCAAGAAAATACAATTTCCTCATAATAGAAGATGATCCTTACTATTTTCTTCAGTACACCAAGGTAAGTGTTTGAGATTAAATAATTTAACTACAAAAAATATAGGTTGTAAATTATTGGGCTGTATTTGACTTTAATTTGTCACTGCATCAGAACTAATCCACTCTTATATTGAGCTTAAGTAAAGTATTATTAATGTGTTTTTCTTGTTAGGTGTTGTCAAGTTAGCCTCCAACCCCGGGTTAACCCCTCTTTGAAGAGAACTGCTTATTGGGCTAGGGGCAGGGAGGGGAGGAGGAGGAGGTACCTATAGTCTTTATGATAGCAATTTCCAAGCCTTTCTTCCATGGAGGATTGGGTCCATTAAAGTCACCCACCTTTGAGTTAATAGCTGAGGTCAATCAAATTGTGCCACCCAAGCTACTTATATTCATTTGCTACCACTTCAGTTTTTAGTGTTTTGGTTATATCAAGGACTTAATCCTTAACACTTTCAGTCTTACTGCTTTTTCTGGAAATTGCTTACCTTCAAATTAGCTGGCATTCTGTGCCATGCATTTCAGGACTGATGGTCTTCTTGAACATCAGACCAGGGATGTCAAATGATTATTATTTTAGGTGTTGCCTTTTGTCTATTGGTAGTAGATGACTGTAGTGACATTTAGAACAAGATTTGGAGGTTATATTCAAACTGAAAGAGAAAAAGTGTTGTGTTTGGTGAGTGAGGTCCATTGGGGAAATAGAGGAGCAGCATTCCAGGCAGCCTTCTCCATGTCTGTCAGCCTTGTTGCTTGCCTCCTGGGTCTTATCCACACAGAATAAATTCTTTCTCACATTTTGTAATTATTGTTTCCTAATAAATGTTGTTAGGGAGCTCTGGTGGCTTACAGATGAGGAGTTGCACTGCTAACCCAAAGGCATGCATTCAAATCTACCAGCTGCACCACAAGAGAAGAAGGGGCAGTCTCCTCGCCTATTGTTTACTGCATCTGAAAACGTACTGAGGGGTCAACTATGAATTACTCCAAATTGATATTATAAAACAAAAACAACAACAGATATTGTAGGGTATAGACTCCTCAAAATTCAACACCATGCAGTCACATTCTTTGTTTGCACTCAGTATTATTAATAACATATATTTGGGGTTGGTCTGATCATTAAATGTATAGAAAATAAACAAGAAGTCTTAATTTCTCTGTAGCATTGGCCTAAGTGTCGTGCCTGGCAATCTCCCCTCCCAGCCTCAGCACAAGATGGCTCCCCATCTCATTTGTTTCTACTTCAGAAGTAAATATGAAAGTTCATGCTCTCTAACATATTTGTCATCTTTGTTTCCCATTTTATGTTTATCATTTTTTTACCTTTCTGATTGGTTCTGAGGATCAGCAATTATCTCTGTAATCTGCCCTTAAAACTACTACTTTTCTCCATTCTTATCTTGTCCAAACTAGTTTTTCGTGATCCTTCTCTATCCTTTTTTTTAGTCCTGCAGTTTACCCATATGGCCAGAAGGAATTGTTTGAGGCTTTCGTAAATTCATCTTGAGCAAATCAAAGAACCTTGGGGTGTAGGTATGTGTGTGTGTTTAGCAGAAGCAGCCATGTAAATAGGTAGATACTGTGCAGGAAAAATATGGGCACTCTCCTCAAGTGTGATTTACAGCCTCTGAAAAACCTCCTGGAGGATCAGTTAGAAGTCAATTCCAACTTGACAATATTGAGTTCTTGTGCATGAAAGAACATGCATCTCTATTTTATATTCCCTTTAAAAAACCTGAGATAAAAGTAATGGAATTTACTGTACTACTGTTGTTCCAATCATGCCCGCTCAACTCTTAGTACAAAATATTTTTACAATGATTATCAGAGTTCTCAAACCAACACTTTTGTTATGCTTTGTGTATTTGTTTGTTTTCCATTTGAAGCCGTGGTTACCAACATTTCTTTCCATGGATGTTGATGGCCGTGTCATCAGAGCTGACTCTTTTTCCAAAGTTCTCTCCTCTGGGTAAGGCCATGTATCTGTGTAAAAGATACTGTACCTCAGTACTTTTCAGTCTGTACAATTTTTTTAAAATTTGTTTTATTATTATTAATTTTAATCAAAGTTTACAGAGACTGAGGATTTCCATTCATTCATTGTTGCACCTTTCTCCCTGCCTGGTCCTCCCTCCCCCCGGTTCACTCTTCTCTTTGAAAAGTAAAAGAAAAATTCTTTCATTATTATAAATCCCTCCCCACAAGTCCACTCCACTCTGCAGCCTTCATTCTGGACTCCTGTCATGACAATAATACCGAATCACATATCCCTTTTAAATAGTTTTTCCCTCATCTGTTTCAATGCAGTGGACATTATTTAACCCATCTTTCTCAGTCTCCCCCCCCAGCCTCAATGTCAGTCCTGTTTTATAGCAGTGGCACTATGCATTATTTGTCCCTTTGTGAGTGAGATATTTCACTCAGCATAATGTCCTCAGAGTCACCCATTTTGAATAATATTGCATGAGTTCCTTGTTTTTCATTGCAGCATAGTATCACAGTTTCTCCATTTGTTTGTTGATTGGCACTTAGGTTGTTTCCAACTCCTTGCTATTGTGAACAAAGCTGCAATAAACATGGGTGTGCATATATCTGCTTGGGTGGCAGATATGGTCTCTTTCGGGTATATTCCCAGTAGTGGAATTGCTGGGTCAAATGGTATCCCTATTTGCAACTTTTTGAGAAACCACCCACAGTGGTTGCACCCACAGTGGTTGCACCATTTTACACTTCCACCAATGTGAATAAGGGTTCCAGTTTCTCCACTACCTCGCCAGCATTTGTTGCTTGCTGTTCTGTTAAATTTTGCTATTCTTACTTCTGCACAATTTTTTACCTTTAACGTATTTCTTGTTCATTTGCCGTAAGACAGTAGTTTGATAGTTAACGTGAGCATGTGTTCCTCCCTCTATCCTTCTCCCAGAATCAAAGGTAATAACTTATGTTTTATCTGAAGTTGTAGTAGAACTGATCAAGGTTTTTTAGGTGGTTGCTTTCTTTTTTTAGTACTGATCAAATTTTTGAGTCAATATATGAAAGACCACATTTGGTCAGAATTTTAAAGGTAAACTTAAGTTCAGATTTGTGTTTTAAATAAAAATCATTTTAGAAGCATGTTTTAAATGTCTAAATCAGTTTATTCCCCAGGTCACAACTCTTGTTTTAACAAAATCAATAAAATGGTACATGCTGACTTTTAATATGTACAGCATAAGTATTAATATGTAAGCATATATATTTCCTTTTTGTGTAGGTTGAGAATAGGGTTTCTGACAGGTCCAAAACCCTTGATAGAAAGAATTGTTTTACACACACAAGCTTCAACATTGCACACCAGCACTTTTACCCAGGTAAGAAAAATTAAAGAACTTTTTTGTTATTGTCAAATCAGAATTGTGCATGAATGTTCACAATTAATGTTGAGTCATATTGGCAAGCATGAAAAATTATGATACTGAATCTTCAATTCCTTAATGTAAAGGCCATATATCACAGATCCATACTTTAAAAGGCAAATGAGAATTGAATAAAACTGATTTTCTTTTGAAGCATAAACTAAATTCCTTGGTTTTCAAGAAATCTGTTTGTTATGTGTTCCTAGCATCTGGCCTAGGAATTTGATACGAACTATATTGGATCAAAATGAAACTAGCTTGGGGAGGTAACATTATTTTATCTTCTTTGTCTTGGAATCTGTAGTGAGAGCTTGAATTTTAAACCTGTTTAATGACTAATTGTTTGCCTTCTTTACACATTACTAACCTCTCCTAAAGATGCTGATTGGACCATCTATTAATTAAAACAAAGGAAAATTTGATTTTTAGAATGTATAAATTTCTTGATATGTTTGAGAAAGAATTGGACCCATCCCTTACATGATCTTGAGACTGTAAGGACAGAATTGCAATTGGAGAACTCAAAAATTAATAGAAAATTCGGTGAAGACTAGAGCACTGGTTTGAAGATGCACATTCCAGAAAGCATAAATGTCCATAAATCTCCCTATACAATACCACTTTGTGAAATATTTTATGTTTGTCTTTATCTGTTACTAAAAAAACTTCACTATCTTCTCTTAATATGTAGAATTAGAATCTAAAGCCTACTTGAAGGTTGTATAAAAAGGAGCAGAAAATAGGACATGGAGACACAGGGCCATGAGCCTCTTTCTTGAAAGGGTCGGAGGGTGTGTGAACAAAACAGCCCCTCAGTGCCCCAGAACAAAAAGCCCAACCTCGTAGTGCCTGTAGAGTCCCACCAGCAGCTAGAGGTTAGTTTATTCATTGTTGACTCACAGACTCAAAATTACGGTACTGAGAACCTAGGGCTTATTAGGGAAATAGTTTGTTGAGTTGGGAGGGCAAAGAATATCACCCAACACAAATATAGGTTTTAGCTCTCAACAGTCTTTAAGGCATAATTCCTCAATAAGTCCATGATCCAGTTTCAGTTCAGCAGTTAAATCCAAATCATCCAGCAAGGTTTGCCTCAGAGTAGTTATAAATCAGTTTTTCCCTCAAGCATTAGCAAGAACAGCAAAACCTTTTAACTGTGGCCAGCACAAATCCAAGAAGCCTCACGTCACACCTTGCCACAGTTTCTCCACAACGATGCCACAGTCTCTCTACCACCATCACGAGGGTCTCGCCGATAGGGTCTCACTCCAGTCTCCCTCTACTCTTGCTTGCTGCAGGTCTGGCTCACCTCAAGTCTTCCTGCTCAGTGTAAGAAATATTCATTCTCTTATCCTAGTCCCACAACTCTTGGTGATTTACAAGACCCATGTGTCTGCAGTTAAGTTAGCTGGAGACCAGAGTGGGGGTCTACGGTAATGGCTAAAAAGCACCAACTTTTAGGCTAACACCACAGAGACAAGGAGATCTCCAAACACATTTCAAGCAGGTGTTCATAGCTATTATACAGTTTATGTTTTCAAAGCTGCAGCATAGGATAGTATTTCAAGGTGTGATCTGACTTTGAATCAAGCTCTCCCTTAACTGTATGCCTTTGGGAAAATTAACACAATCTTTATGCCTCATCTATTAACTAGAAATAATAAACTGTCTAATGAGCTTATTATGTAGTTTAGTAAAAATGTCTTAGAATAGTACCTGACACATGACTATTATATATACTACTCATCCTTCTCCCTTGGAGTAGCTGGTGGATTCAAATGGCATGCCTTTAGGATTGAGATATAGCTTCTTACTAGGCTACCAGAGCTCCCTTTTTTATTAACATCTCAATATTTTTTATGAATAGTCAATGATTAATAATAAAGGTTAATTACTAACAATAGCAACAACAATAATTTTTATCTATCCATATGAGATGCATTGATTCAGTGACTGGGGTAATTGGGGTATATATGTCAGAGACAATAAAGTTGGCTCAAGATAGAGCAGGGTTCAGAGCTGTTGTACATAGGGTCACCATGAGTCACAAACAACTTGCTGGTATGGCACATAACAACATAGTATATTATTATAATTTCTAATTTTTAGATATTATAATGTATTAAATTTTATAATTTCTAAAACTATAATTTCTAAATTTTAAATTATTGTGACTTATTATAAGGTTACATATTACAAATTTATATATTTAAATAAATTATGTCTTAGTCATATCATTGTTGTTGTTATTGTTAGTACTTAACATTTATTATTAGTCATTGACTCTACATAAAAATCATTGACATAGTCATAAAAAAGAGAGCTCTGATAGCTTAGTGGTAAGAAGCTATCCCACAATCTCAAAGGCACACAGTTCAAATCCACCGATTGCTCCAAGGGAGAAGGATGAGCAGTCTCCTCCCATGTGATTTACGACCTCTGAAAACCCACTGAAGAGTCATCTGTAGGTCAATTCCAACTCAAAAGCACACAACAACAGAATTCATACTAGGTTCCCCATATTCTATCTTCTTATAGAGGATGACATGTAATCAAGAAAGATTGCCTTTTACATTATGCCACAAAAAGACATTTTCAAGAATGAACTATAACATGTTATTATTTTATCTTTTTTTAGCTAATGGTATCAGAGCTTCTACACCAGTGGGGAGAAGAGGGTTTCCTGGCTCATGTAGAGAGGTACTGGATCATTTGATAAAATACATATGAACCACTTAGGAGCCCAGTGGATATGATACATAGTAAAGAGAGTTCATTTACTGCCCTCCTTCCTAAGTATCTTAATGTGAAAAATAGAACAGTTGATTAGAAGCAAAAAGTACTTATGTTTTCTTAGCTCTTTACCTCGAAAGTCTTAGCAGGAGTATCTAAATAGGGGTAGTATTTGCATAGTTTGAAAGCAGTCCTTACCCTTTCTGAGATCATCTGAATTCTCACCAGGATGTAGTTGTTATTATGTGCCATTGAGTCGCTTGCAACCCTATGTACAACAGCTCTGAACTCTGCTCTTTCTTGAGCCAATTTCATTGTCTCTGACACACCTACTCTCATTTCCCTAGTCACTAAGTAAATTCATTTCATCTAGGGTCTTTCTTGCTCTGACCCTCCACCTCTCCAAGTATGATGTCTTTCTCCAAGGATTGGTCCCTTCTAGCAATATGCCCAAAGTTGTTGTTGATTGTCATTGAGTCAAGCATGACTTATAGTGACTTCATGAACAAAAAACCTAATGCCTTTCTATAACTATCATCGTTTCTCCAAGTTCATAGAGTTTCCATAGGCATGTGGTTTAGGAAGTGGTAGCCACTCCTGCTTACAATTCTGTTTTATAACTGGAAGCTCCACCAAACACTGTCCACATTTGGGAAACCATTATGGCATTTGACACCCCAATGTCACAAGGTTAAACATGACAGCAAACCCAGATTACCTAAGTACAGCAAAATGACAAAGACTGATATACAAAGTAGAAGAATATTCCTTTAAAATATAACAACACTAATCTCACTTAGCAGTGGCTAAGTGTTGCCAGGTCAAATATGACTCTGGCAACCCTATGAACAAAAGATATAAACTCTGTTCTATAATTTACATCATTTCTTTATGTTGATAGAGTTTATAGAGCTTCCAGAGGCATCTGGTTTAGGAAGTGGATGCCACCCCTTCTTCCAATCCTGAATTGATCTGGAAGCTCCTCCAAACTGTCCGTGATGGATGACCATTATGGTATTTGACACGACTGTGGCACAGTGTTCAGCATCACAGCAACTCCAAGATATTCATACAGCAAATAAACAAACAATTGCTGTACCACTTAAAGAATGTTCATTCTAACATTAACAAATTTGGCCTGAGGGCCGCAGGCACAAACCAGACACAAAACCAACACAAACTCCAAAACCTTCCTTCCATGGCCCACATCAAAACACTAGAAACCAACTTCTAGGAGCCTCCAAGCCAGCCACATCAAATACACAAAGTTAGCATTCACGTATTTAACTGGTTTAAAGGTTGTGTGCGTATGTATGCACATTAATATACATGAGTATTTTATTTAATAGTCAGTTGACTATTAGGGAGACATAACAAGAGTAAGGATACAGTTTGTCCAAATAATCCTTATTACTGGTCAGTCTAGATACAAAGGTGTACCTAATCCAGGCCATGGTCTTCTTAATTACTTGTTATGCTTCAGAGAGGTAAACAATGACTGAGGATGACAGAAGAAGAATAGATGCCTTCAAATTGTGGTGCTTGAGAAGAGTCTTGAACATAGCATGGACCACCAAGAAAACAAATTAGTCTGTCTTGGAATGGGTGAAACCAAGTCTCTCTTTGGAGGCTAGGATTTTGAAGTTGGGGCATGTGGCCAGGAGAGATTAGTCCTTGGAGAAGGACATCATGCTCAGAAAGGTGGACAGATAGCACAGTTGAGTAAGACCCCAGATGAAATGTATTGATACAGTGACTGGGGCAATGGGGGTTAGTGTGTCAGAATTAGTGAGACTAACTCAGGACAAGGAAGGGTTCAGAGCTGCTGTACCTAGGGTTGCTATGCATTGTGGGTGACTCAATTACACATAACAACAGTAATATTCTGTGACAGGTTTGGAAGCAGAAGTGGCATCCAATTCCTAAACAACGTGCCTCTAGAAACTCTAATGAACATCGATAAATGTTGATAGTTGTAGAGGGGCTTCAAGCCTTTTGTTCATGGGGTCACTATGAGTCGTACTCAACTCAAAGGCAATCAACAGCAACAACTGGTGTGAGTTATTCATTATTTCAGCCATATAAATATAGTACTTCCTGAGCCATTTTGAAATAACAATAATTGAGGTATCTTTATTCTCAGAGAAGTGATTCATAGTTTCAACAGTATTTTTTTTTTAATCCCGAGAGATTTCACCCTGCAAATAGCAATAATTATTTTAGCAAACAAAACAAAAAAAAAACCCCAACAGGTTCTATTACTTGTATTAAAACTACGTTTAAGGAATAGCAATTCGTGATCATGAGCACAATTGGTGTTCTGGGATTCCCATTCTTCTCAATGTTGGCCCAGGTTTGTTGTGATCCACATAGTCAAATGCCTGTACATGGTTGGTAGAACATAAGTAGACATTCTTCTGGTGTTTTCTGCTTTCAGCCAGGATCCATCTGACACCTGCGATGATATCCCTGGTGCCACAGCCTCTTCTAAACCCTACTTGACCTTCTGACAATTCCCTATAGATAGTTGTGATTTCTAGTGATGGGAAAGATCTCATCAAACATGGGTGAAGTGTACTTAACCTGACTAAGATAAATGATGTAATTAGGAAGCACATAAAAGGGAAAGATTTTTTGGTAAATGCTATGAGATATGCAACTGTGTAACAACAACTCAAAAACTGAAGTGTGGTTAAATATGTATGTGTTTATGATCACAAGTGTGTGTGGATGGATGTATATATATATTTATGAGCATATACAGATTTAAGTATTCATGATGTGTGGGGGTATGCATCCATAAATATTCGTATAAACAATGAAGCACATAGGGACATACCAAAAGGACCCAGAAAATTACATTTTGATTTCCATATTTAACTTAGAAATGGGCTTTATTTGTTCTCATTTTTAAGATTATTTTATAATAAAGGAGGAATACAAATATAAAAAATTTATCACTAACCAAGTCAAAATATGATCTGGTATCATATTTTCAATAATTCTAAGAAGAAGGAGCATAATTCTTAAAAAAATTGAGCCCCAGAATATTTCTAATACTGGCAATCAATGTATTAAATACAGCCTTTTCATCTTTTTTTCCTCTTCTAGAGTTACTGATTTCTACAGGAACCAGAGGGATGCACTGTTAGCATGTGCAGACAAGTGGTTACGTGGTGAGTGAGATGCACATACTATCCTTGTGATAAGCAGTAGCACCTGGATCAGAGGTAGTGAATACTGGTTAATGTTGTTAATAGTTTCAGCAGAAAGAAACAAGAGTCCAAGAGTACTCTTGCCAAGAAAGTATCCTATAAAAGATATCACAAGCAATAGATTACAGACCATGGAACAGTTCTTCAAGACTATATTAGCCATCTCTGGTAAAGACTTTGTGATTTATAGGTATTTTCAGTCTAAAAACTCATCCAGTAGTAGCTTAATGAAAGATAAATAATGCCTACACACAAAAGGGTTTAAGGTTCTTAAAAAAATTGCCTTAAGTAAAACAATTTTCAAAAAAGCAATATATTTTTCTAAATTAAACTGTGTATGTGAATAAAGATATATACATATTCAATGTAAAAAAAAACAAACAAAAAAACAAGCTAGGACAATCTTATGTGCATCAGTCATTACAAATTATTTGCTTTCTAATCATTCGTTTGTTTATCTGTTGCTAATTTGATTGCAAATGTTTCATACTTCATTTTTTATTATGGTAGAAAATCATACTAATTATATAGCCTTAACAGTACAAAAATGCTTCAGGTATGAAAGATAGTGAACAAGAGATGCTTTATCACACTCCTTTTTTTCACCTCATGTCTCAAGTGGCTTATTTTTTTTAAATTTTATATTGGTTTGCATACAAAGTTTGTATGTATTGTTTCACACTATCCTTCATTCATATTGTGTTTCATACAATCATTTTCATTCATTATGTTTTATAAAATAAATCACCATTAGGTGAGCTCTGGTGGCATGGTGGCAAGAAGCTGCACTGCAATCCTAGAAGTGCACAGTTTGAATCCACCAGATGTTCTGCTGGAGAAGGAGGAATAATCTCCTCCTGTACCAGTCAGATCTGATTTGACGGTACCCACAAAAAACTAAAAATTTTTTTTAAAAAAAGAATCATCATTACCATACCCATCGTTATGCTTCAGACATTTTTTTTTAAAAAAATCTTTAAAACAGCTTAATTACCACTGGGCCAATTGGCAGCATCAGCATGGATGGTGAAGAGATTGAGAGAGTTAGCAGTTTTAGTTTGCTTGGCTCCACAGTCAACACTCTTGGTAACAGCAGCCAGGAAATCAAGAGACGAATTGCATTGTGAGGGACCGCTCAAGAGTACTAAATAGGGTTGATAGAAAGAGAATTGATGCCTTTGAGCTTTGGTGCTGGAGAAGAGTGTTGAATATACCATGGACTGCTAGGAGAAAAACAGGTTTGTTCTGGAGAAGGTGAAGCCGGAATGCTCCTTGGAGTCAAGGATTCTGAAGCTTCATCTGACGTACTTTGGGCGTGTTGCAAGGAGGGACTGGTCCTTGGAGAGGCACATCATGTTTGTTAGAGTGGAGGGGAGGTGAAGGAGAGGAAGACCTTCGATGAGATGGATTGATTCTATGACTGGAGCGGTGGGAATAAGTGCGTTTGAGATGGTTAGGTTGGCACAGGATAGAGCAGCATTTAGATCTCTTATACATAGGGGCGCTATGAGTCGCAAAATGGCACATAACAACAACAACAGTTAGGATTCCTTGGTCTGGAGAGAGAGACAGACCAGGGAAAACTTTGCCCTAAGGTGGATCGGGCAGGTTTTTATAGTAGTCTCTTTAGGAAAGGAAGAGAGGAACGTTCCATTGTGGTTTAGCGATGTAGGTGGCCATTCACTCCCTTTGTTGACATGTTGATATTCTATGAATCCTGCATTCTCCCCCTGGACCTTGGCCTGGGCAAGCTCCTTTTTTAAAAAATAGGATTTTATCACCTTGAATAGTGTTAAAGAAAAAGTTTTAATCA